CCTGTGACACTTTGTGCTCAAGAGGGGCCATGACTGCATGTACGAGCTCCGACTTGAAATCACATTGCTTTGTACACTGAAACATTTGAGGACGAATTTTATTACAGCGGAGAAGTTCCGTCAAGGTTAAAACTGTGAACTCGATAAGGAAGGTATGTAAGTAGCCAGATAGCTCAATCTGTACAGGCTACCGGGTTTAAGTTCCAGTTAAGCTGTAGAGTTTCTCACCTGTGACACTTTGTGCTCAAAGAGGGGCCATGACTGCATGTACGAGCTCCGACTTGAAATCACATTGCTCTGTACACTGAAACATTTGAGGACGAATTTTATTACAGCGGAGAAGTCCGTCAAGGTTTAGAACTGTTCACAATATAAGGGAAAAAACAATTGAAGCTGCCGAACAGCTCAGTCGATGAACAAATGGCAATAGTTTCATTAAATTGCGCCCATTTTGTGCCCTACGTGTACGTACCCAAAGGAACGAAACAGCTGTATAAATATCAACTTGATGTGAATGGTACACTGAAAAAAAACAAGTTTTGAATAACCGTTCTTTAGGAAAGACTGCAATAAAATCCTTCACATTAAAAATGGATTGTCAACCGTTTAAGTTGTTGCTATTTGTATGTTGTTTTTTTAAATAAAATTTTTATACATTTTGCATATAAAGAGGAAGTACCGATTAGAGCTAGACAATGCAACGTCCTAGGGCTTTCAGAAAATCCAAGTCATTGTTAATAACCTACGTACAATTCTATTTTATGGTGTTTTTTTTTGGTTTTTTTTTAATTTTGTTTTTTTTTACCGAAAAAAAAAACACAACAACAACAACCCCAAATATTATGTTCCCATGCAGGGCAACTATATATATTTACGTATTCATAAACACATGTACGTTTTCAAACATTTTATTAACTGAATAAATTAAAACCACTGAACACTGATAACATATATATGTCTATGTTTTTTTTTTCATTTCATAGTTTTAGGTATATGTATCTATGAAAAAGGAACGTCAGTAAAATGGCAAAATAGAAAAAGAAATAATTGAAAATCGACGCAAATGGGACTCTCGGGAATTATAAAACACAATAATTGAATTTAATAACCTTTTAAGAAATGCTACTTTCTCATGCATAATGACACTTTACGAGAAAACCCCATTAGAATAATTGTGGCATGCCTAAGATTTGTGCTCTAGAATATAGACATTTATTTGGTGAAATGAACCATAAAATACATTTTTCCTCATGAAAACTGAATGACGGAAATAAAGCAGTTCTGTCCCGAATATAATAAAACCATATGCATATTTGTAAAATATAAAATGAACTACATTTCAAACCTTAAAATTTGAATATTTTGCAATAGACTTTAGAGTTTTAATGTCAACTGAATATTTACAATTAATGGTATCATCATTTTCTCTGTAACATTTACATATATATATATATATGAAACTCTTGATATATTACTATTTAAGTAAAGCAATGAATTCAGCCACTCATAATAGGAAAATATAGAAAATAACATTTTCCTGATATTTTATGGCAATAATAAATGTTCAAACAGAAACAAAGAAGGTTTTTTATGAATTGAATATACAAATGGTTATTGATATCTAGGTGTATATACATGTATATCCACAATAGGGCGTCCATGTACAATAGTTAAGGTCGTTGACTTTAAAACATAAGTGTTTTATTCTTATGCACTGTCTGAATTTGTGTGTCAGTCTAAATGGTACAGGACGGACTGAAAGGTGCTTAACAATCAATAGTAAGTTTTTGGCTCTTTCCATCAATTTGCATTATGTCTTCAATGACAATGTAATTGTAAGAATATTCTATGTTTAAAATAATTACTTTTTAATTTTATGCCTCAGAAACGAAAAAAAAAATCATTCTCTAGAAAGGTAAAACATAAGTTTAATAATGTTCAAACAATGGTTTAAGAGCATGTTAGATGCTTATGATGAAGGGTCTCTCTCCACCATTACTGTTGAAAAATTAGTATTTCAAATGTACATAGATCCTTTCATAATAAAAAATGCAAGGTAATAGTGATGCCAGATAAAATGTATTTGAATCAGTAAGAAGTGTCCACTTGAAATGTAGTTATAATAATCCATAACTTTAATTTATCTAAAAGTAATATACATTGCGGTTTAAAATGGGCTTCTTTTAAGCTATTCACGACGGCGTACAGGTTGAATGGTCAGACCAGGTTTGTTTGCTTGATTGATTAAGTTTTATTTCACACCGGCACAATATATGTCATATGACAAGGTTCAAGCTTAACTGGTGAAGGAAGACCTCAGATGCCCTTACGTACACTATTTTAGGCACGAGAATATAGACGTTCCGTAAGGTAGCTGGGCAGTGTATAGCTTTCTCACATGAAAGAATCCAAAAACTGTGTCGTGATTCTGACTCACAGCGGTGAGGAACAGTGGTTTTAAAGTGAACGACATTTACCACTCGGTCACGGACGGCTAGGTAACATACAATGCTTAAGATAATCCGTAACAAGTGTCAGATATGTACGTCATACTACCAGTCTACTCTCACGCATGTTTCTCTGTTTAATAAAGCTTATTGATATATATTCTTCTATCAAGTAAGAATGCTTTTATTCTGAATAAATTATTATACCATTGTCTTTGAATCAGAAATAGAAACATCTGCACATTGTGATTCATTTGACATGCTGAAATATGACCCTGGCCCAATAATCTTTAGACAATACTGCATTATGACAAAGCTCAATTTTATAGAAACACAAACAGAACTGATCTATTTCTGGTCCTTCTATTTATTGTTGTATTTATGCGGGGCTGTAGCGTTTTTGTCACAAATGCAATCTTGTCCTTTGTATTGTAAAAGGAAGAATTTGCCTGAGGTATGACTATTAAACAATGAATTGACATAAAAGTATTACACTACGCCTCCGTGGTCGAGGGGTTAGAGTCGATGACTTCTAATCCAGTTACCTCTCTGGCGTGGGTTCGATCCCCGGGAGATGCTTTGGTAGTTTAGCGCGGAGGAAGGTAGTCTAGTACTGGTGTAACTCTCCAGGAACGATGGTTAGGAAACTACCCGCCTATATGACTGAAATACTGTTGAAAAAGGCGTAAAATGAAACAAACAAACAAACAAACAAACACTACAATATCAACAATAGGTAAGCCCAGAGAGACGATAGTTAAATTGAACATTTTTTTAAATACATGTAAATGTATAATTATTTCATTTTAAATTTGATGCTGCTTCTTGCATGAGTTTCAAACTATTGTAAACTCATTTACACATACTTTATGCAAATTATGAAATCATTTTTTGATATACAAAGGAAACAACACACATATATAAATGTATCTGAAATATCGACGCCATACTTGGTTGTCAGTTTCAACAAGGTTGACGACGCGTTCGGTCCTTATTAAACAGGTCTCCTATAAACATAAATAAAAAAATAATTGAACAAATACCTGCAAATACAATTTAAACTTTGAGTAAATGTTGTTTGAAATTGTCTAGTGCAAGCTATAAAATTATTACTATCTTCTTAACATGTCATATTTTACATGCAAATTTATTTGTATGTATTTATTCATTTCATATTACCTTAAGTCATCGGTATTCTCGTAGTGACATGTCGGGACTCTAATGTTAGTTTCTATAAAATAAAATTATCATTAATAAAAAAATCATTTATAAATCCTTTTGCTTTGCATTTATAACAATAATCATAATAATTGTGATTAGAAATTGTGCATTCGATTCATCGAATTAATGGCAGGCCTAGCTGAAAACAGGGGTATAAAAGTGACATTTCTTGTGAGGCATTTGCGTATTTGCATTGTCACTCATTTTATAGCGACTTAGCCACGAACATATTAGTTTAAAGAGTATTTCAATAGTGCTTTGTTAATATATAGTTTATTAGAATAAAACAAGCACATGGTTTGAAAAATTACTTTAGTTAAAATATTTTTTGTATTGAGAATACTGGCATGTACCTCAAAAAAAATACTGATACGTATATTAAAAGCACCTGTATTTTTGTCTCAGAATATCTGACATGAGTTTTGTAATTTCACCGACTTATGTTACTCAGGAATCGCATATGTTACACTAGATTTAATTATATGGTACAAACCATTGTTCGTTAAAATATAAATTCATGTTACTAGATTAATATTTAAACTATGGTGGCATATTTCTGCGATAAATAACAGATATTTATCAGACTATCTAGATATTTCTATGTTAGATAAGATCAATAACAAATGAGTATCTAACTTCCGATAACACTTAAACGTGTCCAGAAATGGCAACACTTAAATAAAAGATAATTATTTGTTTATCTGTTAAACATTATTTGTTTGTTTGCTTAAGTATCAGACTTAACTTAAATATTTACCTATCTTACATAACAATATCTAGTTAGTCTGATAAAAGCCTGTTATTTATAGTGTCAACGCGAAAACTAAATAGTCAGTCAGTAAAGTAAACGCAATTATTTTATGGTTAACTGTCAGCAGAAATTATGGCAGAAATATGCCACCATATGAAACTCAAGTACCAAGGCTTTAACGTTTTCCGTATTATAACTGCATACAGGTTTGAAGGAAATATCTTGGTTGCTTTTACGTGCATACTCAGATCTGACATTATGCCAGGAAAGGCATATGATGTATTTCCCGAGCCGCAAATCACGACAGTCGCAATATGACCGAAGCGTTACAAACAAGATCCTGCAGATTTATTGCCTAAGAAAAAACGACTTAGAACAATTACGAAACAAGAAGTATGCAATATGGTCCAAGGAGATTTATTAAAATATATCAATTACCTTTTTCCGGGCATGTATTGTCATGATGTATTGCAAATTCTTCTTTTTTGACTTGCGACCTACAAAAAAAACGAAAAGTTTACACAAGTATAACACGTTTGTAAGATAGTCTAAAATTTTAGGAATTAAATAACGGTTTACCAATTATGTTTATATAGAATGATTTAATATATATCTATATTGACATGATTGTACAATTATTATATTTCTTTCAGTCCGTGACAGAGTAGTTAAGGGCGCTGACTTCAAACCAATGCCTGAAAAACTTTGTTTTCACAGTAATTTCTTTTTTTTAGCTCACCTAGTAAGCAAAACGTGCACAAATGTGAGCATGGTGTCCGACTTGCGCAATTCGTCATTATCAACATATCCATATTCTAAACCACATAATTATGAAACTATGACCAAAAATTTGAGAGGCCAACTACAAAAGATACAAAAATGCTTCCTGTTTGATGAATGAGAAAGTATCAGAGCAGAACAAGACTTAGACACTTCAATGCTAAGATCGTAGATTGTTTATAAACCATCAACTACCCAGCCACAAACATACAATTGTAGTACTCTACACACGTCTTATATATAACTTATAACCCAAATTTAAGGTCTAAGTGCATCAGTACATGAAACAAGAAACACAAACCGAAAGAACGCTATAAACGGCAATTTAAAAATGTTCCAGGACCTGTTCATTCAAACCACGTGCATAGGGTCAAAACTTGCCCTTTTTAAATGTTTGTGTTTAGTCATCATATTTCCTTAGAAGCTATAAAGCATGAATCATAGTTTCTTTGGCATGTTACGTCAACTATAGGGATTTCGTTTGTCTCTATGTTATGGTAACGGGACGTATATAAATTATGTTTCTAACGACGTTTTGGACACATTATTATATCTCGTTATTTATATAAAGTGTCAGAACAGTACCAATAAAACTAAGCAAAACTTTCACAATACCTGTAACGAAGTTTCAAATTGATCAAAGTGATAACAAGTACAAAGATACAAATCGCTGATCCAGCAAGAACAGCCACCAAAACAAATACTGTTGATGTTGCCGTCCATCCAGTTTGTGCTGGAGCTAAATCGACATTGAAACGTAATGCACAATTAAATTTTTAAAAGCAACTTATCTTTTGAATGAAATACATTGAGTGTAGTTATACTGAAATAAGTCAATTTTTCCTATCTTAAGTCAGTATTTTATATATTTACTTAGAAAAAGAAACATTCTGTACACAATGAGTTAATGCGTTAGTTATAAAGATTCTTGAAGGTTGTTTAACAAGCAACCATCAATCTTGGCAAACTCATAACACTGTTACAGAAAAAAAAATTAAGACAAAAACAAGGAAATCTATTGTAAGCATTGAAAACAACATTATCATAGATAAGGTTCGGGCGCGCTTCAGTGAATACGTTATTTCTATTTGATTGAATATGTTCGTGAGAGATAATGTAAAAGTCCAACATCTCTTAGTAGCCCCTAGAGCATAATTATCATACGTTTAATTAATTCCCGTGTACTGTTAGAGGTTGTCTTTGAAATTCCATGTTTCAAACGTTTCAGCATTATTTAAATAGGAACAGAACTAGATCAATCAAGAAAGTCGGCATTCAATGGACACAAGACACAAAACAGGACAGGGCACATGGACATACTTACGCTCCTCTTTGAAATAGAAATACATTGAAAAAAGATCGATCTCAAAAAAGTGGTCGGCCGCTTTAAACAGACAATTGTACCTACTTTGTTTTTATGTTTTAGTCTTACAATTCATTAAGGTTGTTTTCTTTCAAAGATCAATTAATTTATTTCCGTAAAAATGTTGCAGGTGTCCTATAACCTAAGCTGTTGCAAAAAAAAGAAAGAATATGAAATTTAATTCAGTTTAACGATGATTTGTTGAATATTGCACTGGCAAACCATGAAAATGCTTAAGATTTCGGATTTTTTACAATGAGTATTAGAAAAATATCCTTTGGTGCAAAAGAAACTACTCCAGGTAGTTTCTTGTTCCTTAACTGATTAGGATGGCATTGAAATAGAAGACAAAGTACAAATGTTCTGATTTAAGGCGGCCTTCCTCCCAGACATGTCGTTTCATCTTCAGTACATCATTTGTTTTTCGGGTGTTTTTAAGGCAGTAACTTAAATTGAAAGCCATTACGCTTTATTATCACATAGGAATGTTGCGGAATAAAAACTGCATTTTCGACTCATAGATTAAGCATTTAGTGTCACCTTGAAGTCAACATTTACATTTTTTTGCTACCTTCAATAATCTGTGATATAATTAGGAAAATGTATTTAGCCTTTTGCGCATTCGGATTGAGAACATAAGAAATCTTCCGAGACATAATTCATACGCCTGATACTAGAAAAAAAACAACACATGCTCATCTAAATACTACAATTTACAAATAATGATACAACCTGACGAGCATTGCTGTTCGCATCTTAATCCATGGAAACCAGATCTGCATACAGTACAGTTGTTATATGAGGTACATTCATCACAGTTGTCCGGGCAAACGTGACTGCAGTCGTTCCTTAAACGTCGACTACTGTTGCCGTACCCATAACCATTGTAGTTCCCATCCTTACATATTTCACATGTTTTATTTGATGAACACGTGATACAGTTAACCGGACATGAACTGATGCATGAATTACTGGGATCGTAGAACCCTTCCTTGCAGGACTCGCACTGATTATCTTTGCAATTGCAATTTTGGGGACAGATATCTACACGATTACGACAGTCATTGTGACCATTGTCGTTGTAGTATTTATTCTTGCAGGATGTGCACGTGTTGCCTGACGTACATATCTTACATCCGGTTAAACATTTTGAGCAGGTACCGGGGGAATTCATGTAATAACCATCATTACACTCAATACAAAAGTTATCTTTACACTTCTTACAACTGTGCGAGCATTCTTTGTAACATCGAGCACCCCAATAACCATCAATACAACCGGAAGTACACTCATTCTTATACCATCTTCCTTGACCACATTTTTTGTCTACGCAGCACGCACACTCTACCTGACAATCAGTACCCCTGCCTACAATTAAAATAGTTAATTTCTTTCTATGCATTAAATGTGTATTTTGCGAGATCTGGATTGCCGATTTATTTTACTTAATAAAACAAAATTGCATAACAATATACGCATATTTATTTGAATTGAAAATATTCCAACATTCACATTATTATTATCAAAACTAAACATTTTTATTATTATAATGTTTTGCTATAATAAATTATTGTTAATAATCGCAATTGAGTACTTATCTTTTAAAATATACAAACTTTTTATCTTTGTTTGACAGTGAAACAAAATGAACATAAAATGATATAATGCCACTTAAACTGTATTCTATTCATGGAGCATTTTGCTTATGATCGATCCAAAAACAAAATACGTCCTAGAAAATAATATGTTCGTGATTACTGAGAATTTTCAGTATCATTAACATACGCTGTTTTATTTGATACAAAATAGTATAATTGCTTTAAATATGTTAATGCCAAACATGTACCTCTTGCTGACTTTGTAATAAGAAGCCATATCCAAATGTAACATGTAAGCTGTGAAAAAAAAAATGTATTATTATTTTTAAAATAAAAGATAATTTTAGATGAGAATATTATATTCATTACGAAGAAGATCAAAATGAGTGTCATTCTATAAACGCATCCCAACTTCTTTTTGATGCAGACAAAAAACTCAACACTTATAAATAGCATTTTCGTTAGTTGTTTCATTTAAACTTATTTAATGGAAACCATAAAATGTATTGATTTGAGTGAACTTTAAACTTTAAACTTATTTAATGGAAAGCTAATAATACAGCCATAAATGTATTGACTTGAATGAAACCAGTTACTACTTTATGTGCATATCTGCATATATAAATTACATTTTTTTAAGTCTGAAACAAAACACGGTGAATACTTATTGATCTAAATTAAAATCATCGTCAAACGACATCTTAAATGACGAACAAATCGAATATTGGATGATATGATGCCTACGTATTTTCCTATTTAAACAGAGTGAGTACAAACATACAAAGAAAATCGTATTCTTACCGCATCACATATACATTAAATGGACTGAAAAGAAAAACTTACTAGATTCTTAAACATGTTATTGGTGTTTCCTTTAAACGATATCCATTTAAAAGAACTCAATTGATTCAAAATATAAGTATACTTCATGTTTTATAGCTGACGAAGTACAACATATGTTCTTACGCTAGATTTCTGTTGTATTTTGTCTGCGAAATGCAGAACATAAAATCGAGGCCTAATCTGACATGATAATCTTTTATACAAAGATAATGGATCATTTTAAAGCATGACTATCCTAATGTATTACCTCCGCATAAGCGAGTATTCAAATAGGCTAGAACTACTGTTATTTGCGTTGAAATAGGGGACCGTTGGTTCAAACCATAAAAGGGTAAACTTCATTTCTTTCTTTTTTTCTTTTAACATTATTCACGTTTCTCTAATTTCACTTTTGGAAAGAAAAATGTGTTTAATTTTTAACTATATAGTTAATATAAGTATATATCGGCTACATAATGCTAAATAGTGTACAAATATGGTACCTTATATTTCACAGTCTAATAAGATCATTTAATATGTTACAAGATCAACCAATACTTTTGAGTCTTAAAGGTAAACCATGATTGTTAGTGACTTTTTTAGTTAAGCTCTCTAAGTAGTCAAATGTCAAAGACGTGTTGAAAAATCAAACTACTTGCCCCTCACCGCTGTGGGTTCGAATCCCGACAGGGACGACTTTGGATTCTTTCATGTGAGGAAGCTATCCAACTAGCTTACGGAACGTCGGTGGTTCTACTCAGGTGCCCGTTCGTGCCTGAAATAATGCACGGAAGGGCACCTGATGTCTTCCTCCACCAGAAAAGCTAGAACGTCACCAAATGACCTATACTGTGTCGGTGTGACGTAAAACCCAAACAAACAAACATCGTGTTAAAAACGGATGGGATAGGGAGACATTTTTATACATATTTCATAAAATGAGCAGGAACAATCATTTTACTCGTGTGAATTGTAAGCAGAATGTTGCTATCTGTTTCTTAACAATTATTAATAGCAAAACTTTTTTCATTAATACTTTTTTCATTAATATGAAGGCGTAGATTATTTAGATGTTAATCAATACTGAAAATAAGCCCTTCTAACAATAAAGCTTAAGTTAAGAAAAAGTGATCATGACCCGTTTACCATACGGTAAAGATTACTTAAATTTTGCATGCCGCTGTCTTATAAGGCATATATCTGACCTATGTTTGTCAATTTTTCAGCTCCTTATAGTGCTCGTTAGGATGGTCATGCCTTAAATGAAGATAACATTATTTCTTTTTTAATTTAAACAAAATATTTCAGGCATCTGTCCTTCCACCAAGGGACCATGGGTTTAAGCCCTACTTTGGTCACAACCATATTGGTTCATATGGTATCATTAATGGTTAATTCAGGGAAGCCGACTTGAAACCCATTAATATAAGTTGCAAAAACTTCCCTTAAAAATTGAGCTTAAAATATATATGTTTTAACTAAATTGCATCTTTTTACGGGTATATTTATTAATTTTCTTTAAAATTAAGTGTATTCATACTCAGGTTCAGAGGAATGTATATATACTTTATTTAATAGTTCCAAGTTAATTAATAAGTAAAAGTAGGAAATAATAAAAAAGAAGCTTACCATCTTTGACGTCGTTTTTGATGTTTATTCCGAATACACTTTCATCAAACAGCAACTAGTGCCATTTGTAGAAAATTTAGTCAGTACGTAAAAAAGTTGAAAATCTTAAATAGGTAATTAAATGATGATGTGCATTAACTTTATTTTCCTGCAATTAAATGAAAAATATGGTGTGATAGAATATATCTTTAAATCACAAATGCAACATATTGCGGCAAGTTTTAATTGCCAGTCTAAATGTTTGTTAATGAGTTAAGTGTTAACAAATAATTTAGACTAATTTTAAGTTGTTTTCGTAATAATTATTTGAAGTGTTCTATTTTTGGTGTATCTTTGTGTCTTTTGTGGTATAAAAAACTAAAGTAACTCTTTTCAAAGTGTCACTTTGAACATGTTCTGTACATCATAAAAATTGTTTGTAATATCTTATACATTTGAAATAATTTAAAGATGTAATTTTGGTTCGTTCAAATTTATCATGTGCCTTCTCTATTTCACCTCCTTCAATTTTGATTCCTCTGCCTCGTCTCAAAGAAACCTGTCGGGTAGAGGAGTTAAGGTTGGTGAACCAGAACCTGGTTTTAAATCCCCATTTGTGATTATACCAAGGCCGCATCTTTATGTATGTTTTCTTTATGTATGTTTTCTTTATGTATGTTTTCTTTTCTTTATGTATGTTTTCTTTATGTATGTTTGCAGATAAATGTTAACGTGACAACAGACACTTTCCGTGGTACTCACATAAATGCCATTTAAACCAACTTATTTTAATAAAATGTCGTTGATCATCATAAAAAATAACATATTTGAAAACAAATGCCTTTGTAAATAATTGATTTTGAACAAAAATTCTAAAATTTTGAATTGTTATATCAAAGTCACTTTTTATTTCTTTGTCAACAAACTTTTGGAATATAAACATACTTATAATATATTGGGAAAGGGGGTCACAAGTTGTGGTTACATACTCTATCAACATTTTATGACCCAGTGACATTTGACCAATTAAAAAGCTGCTGATTATTATCAGTTTATAGCAGGATTTTCTCCAACTCTTAACGTGATTTACTGTTTGGTTGGTATCTGTCGCACATGTCACGTGACTATCGGTAAAATTCTAGGCACTCGGTTGGGGGAAATGGAACGCATTTGCGTACCACTATCGGGGTAATCTAATTGTTTCACTTTTGAAGTTTATTATTATTATCATCAGCATTATTATTATATAATACCAGTGTCACTCTGCCTGTGTATTCGTGTATGAAATTCCGTTAAAATATAATTTAAAATAACAAAAACTCAGCATCTGACAGACTTTAAAAGTACATGGTAGATGTACAAATTCGAACGGGATATTATATATTTTTCCACTAAATTCGTATAAATGCTTCACATATTGTAATAGAAATAAAAGGTTTTACTTGATCATCATTATCTGACCTCGTTGACTTCCATTGTCATGAATATTCTATACATCCGTGAATTACCCTTTTGTTTGTAATTAGTCGATACTTCTCGTACAAATACAAATACTGTACATATATATGATTATCTTAACATTATATCGTCTACCTTTTAATTAGCTTTTTTTATAAAATAAGAAATTGTCGGCCAGGTTTCTGTTTTGCATATTTAGGAAGGTGGCCAAGGGGTTGCCTGTTAGGAATAAGGCATCAGAATTGCAGTCACCGTTTATCCCTGCGCGATCGTAAGAGGCGACTGAACGGGTTCGAATTACTGGAGACTATGCATCTCTTAGCTCGAGCAGGTGTGTTAATTTTCGCTTCTGGTGCTGCTATAAAAAGTTTGTAACATCCGAGGTTAGCCAAAGTCTTTTTACCGTTTTCGACGCTATATACCCCAAATTGTGTATGTGCACAAAAGAAAACCTTAAGTATATTGTCGGTATTTTTCATTTCAATTGCCTGTTGTTTCTGAGGAAATTATATAATATTCAAAGGCAGTAAATTTGAGACATAATATCAATGTTATTGTCCGACTTTGCGTCTCGTCTTCTGTTATATAAGTGGAGTACTTATTTAATTCAAGTGTGCTTCCGATACTTACAAGTTGAATGTAAATCTGCACGTCTCGTGTATTTTATTATACGTTAAGTATGTTTTCGGTACTAATCTTCATTTAATGTTTTCCCTGATGAAATTTTAGTATTTATAGACAGTTAATTTAAGACATTTAACAATCTTCCATTTTCTGAAGTTGCGTATTATTTATCTATATGGGAGTGAAAGTACATGTACTTACTGAAACAATACTAGAAATTCAAGAGTACTTCTACATGTTCTAAAGTACTACTAATACTTACATATTGAGTGTTTAAACCAGCAAAAGGCACTTATATATGGCAGAAAATACTGACTAAATGCACGTAGATTAACTTAAATACTAGTGAACGACTTAACCGGACAATAATTTTTTTTTTCTATACACACTAAATCAGAAAGTCCAGTACATGGAAATTATTCATGATTTTATTATATGTAATTCATTGGCTTACGTCTTAAGATAAATTAGCATCTTGATTTATCAGTGCCGCTTTCGGATAGCCGGGCAAAAATTTTGACGCGATGTCATTTGCCTTATTTCAAAGCAAAAAACGCACTAAATGTAAGCGTTACACTATAGGCGCGGTAACGAAAAAATAATAAATAAATTAAACTCGTTGAATAAAGTATTATAACTCTCGCTAAAGGTTTGCATATTATAATTTTATTCAACAAGTAGATCCAGTTTTGATTGTACACTCATTCAATATCCTCTATGTAATGCTAATGTTTATTTAAAATTTGTTTAAAGAAACGTTAAAATCAAGTAACAATACCAAATCAAGATTTCTAACAACAATCGAAACAAAAATAAAACCACCAAGACGGACATTTAATAGCATAGTAATTAATGAAAGTCGGTATTATCCAAAAATAATTTTTTAACCATGGAAAATGGACGAGAAAAAAGGGTTTTTGAATCAAATGAAAAAGAATGTTATCGCAACTTACATTTATCAGTTATAAACATTATAGTTCAAATAAGCTATATAAGTAGGGAAAAATTTAATTATACACTTATAAAGTCTAACATTTAAAATGCTTATTGACACAATAAAACTGCGTTTTATATTCAAATGAAAATTTTACAATTATAATTTTGAATTGAACCAGAATCTACATGTTAGAAAGTTGAATGTTTGATATTAGTAGACAATATCATTTTCCCTATGTTGATAACCATAAAGTGTTGTTGGTTGGTTTACTAAAACTCAAAAATAGAAGACAAAAAATGAAAAATTTAAACATTGTTTATTTCTTTCATTTAAATCGACATTTTTAAAAACGGAATTCAATATTCAGCGGAATTCAATATTCAACCTTGTGTTTACATATACAACATTCAAACTCATAACTTGATTGATACAATTATGTTTTAACTATTGATTAACTTAAAGATGCAACTTCATGATTTAAGTATTTAACAATAGGCTTAACACTCAAGTCACGTTAAAAGGGTATATATGCTACCTTTAAATGCTATCAAAATGATATCATTAATGTTTTCAGTGGACTAAATTTGGGACAATATTCTTAGGGGTGACAAAACACATACACACGCACATTTAACACGGATTATTACAATGGTTAATTTCAGGTTAAATATTATTGTTATATTTAAGAAAATTTGAATAAAAATAATTCATAGATAAAATCGTCCAGGTTGATCAAATGCAACAATAAATGTTTAATATATATATATGCGAAAATGTGGGTACTTAATTCATTTACAGTACAATCGTTATTTTAAATAACGGCGTTTGATATCATCAGCAATGCAAAAAAACCTGAATGACAAGTGATAGTTATAGCATATGCAACGAGTTAGTTATGAGGATATAACACTGGCTGGGCGACATCGAGAGATGTTTCTGCTAAAACCATGGCGAGGCCGTTAGACCGACACATTTTTTTCCCCAGAAACATGCCTTAAAAGAAAGAATTCCCAACCATGCGATATGAGAGAGTCATCAAAATGATAAAAACGATAATAAAAATGGGCAAAGGTGTTTTGCAAATAGAGAAAATTAAAAGTGAAACAGTTTTCGCGTTTCTTAGAATGGCTTTTATTGGATTCTTATTTTCTCTATTTTATACACTAATGCATTTATAGCAATTAAATTGTATATATAAAATATATATGAATTATATAAAGTCAATTTCATCGTCATTAAAATGGAAATTCAATTGCGTTGTCACCACTTTTATGCATGCCAATACATAATTTATGTACTCTTTTACTCATTATTAAATATTTAAATTAGTCTTATTTTTATTTCTGGTGTCCCTTTAGCGCCATCCCAACGATGCCAATATTCAAAACTGAAGTTCATATTTCGGACACGATTAGTTTTAAGTAAGCAAGTCTTTTTTTCATTTTTTTTTGCACTTTCCGTGTTTTTCTTTCACGTAGATAAAATGATACATGGCCAATGTCCTTGATATATTTACATACTATTCGTCTAAAACGGGCAAAGAGAAGAACACAAACACATTTGGTTATGAATGTATGAACACATGAAAGTAAACACAAGATGATGCTAATACAAATGCATGTATAGTTTCCGTATTTACTTAAACACAAATGTCATTTGTAACTGAGACATACTGTCAGGATGCGGATTTACTTAGAGTAGAAGATTGATGAAATTCTTGGTAAACTTTAACTCATGTCAGAATGTAACCGACTGGTTCGATGAGGATTGCATCAGTAAATATCAAGTTCAAAATATGATAAACAAGATCAACAAAAAAAAGGCAACGTTCAGCAAGAACCAGTTGTAAGGAGCCCAGGAGGACCCCAAACAAAAACAGGATAGGGTACAAGACAGAGCACTTACAGGCTTATCACTAAAAACCATGTAAAACTTTTGAACGTCCTATTTTTCGTTCCAGTTTAAACACAAAAGCTATAAGTTATGCTTTCGGATATAAAATCATAAAATCTTGTAAAATAAACGGGAAAAAGACCAACGTGAGGTACACAGTCTGAATAATTTACAAACGGACCCTACTTGATTCTAGACATATTACATCTCTTGCTAAATGGTTAGGGTCTTTATATTAATTTTCTTGTTCCTCACCGCTGTTGGTACGAATCCTGTCAGGGTATTTTGATTCTGTCTTGTAAAGAAGCTTCAAAATAGCTTACGGAGCTTCGATGGTTCGCAGGCTTCCGTTCGTGCATGTTTGGTGCATTGCAGTGTGTCTGAGGTCTACCTTCACCTCTGCTGTGTTGATGCGACGACAACAATTATTACATTTAAGGATGTATGTCCTTTATCTATTTATTTATTTATACAATATTGGAGGAAATTTTCAAACTTGCTATATACAATGATATAAAATAGAATATCTTAGAATAGAAAAAACAAAAAAAACAGAAAAGTCAAAATTGATATGATGCAGCATAAGTTCGATTGAGCCTGCTCCTGGACGGTTATGTTAGTGGTTGCTTTTGTCCACACCCGCAGCACCGGCTTAAACAAAATTCAACATTTAAACACATATGTTCAAACTGGGCGGAAACAAAACTGTTTTAAAAGAGCGAATA